TACAGTGGAGCTATGTTTTTGTTATTGGTTTTTAGTTTATTTAGGTTTTTAGTATCTATTTATTTTTTTCTTAATTTGTACCTTTTTAGTCTGTCTCTTTCGTATGATGTCTACTGTGTTATTGTACTAACTGTTTATACCCAGTTGTTCGGTAAAATTTTGAAAATCTTTAAAAAAAATCAAAAATTGGATAATTATTTCCGAAATTTTACACGATGAATTCTGTTGACACCATTTGTTGATAAAAAGTAAAATATTTCAGTTTTTCAGTTTTTGACTTATTAGCGAATAACGGTAATTTGAAGTGTTACCGACTTTTCCGCAAGTAAAAAACCCAGTAAAAAATACTGGTAAAATAAGTTAAGTGTGCAACCAGCAACTGCCCTTTTAAAGGTTTGCAGAGTTGGATGAAAACGCTATACTAAGATCAACCTGGAACAAGTAAGTGTGTCTGCCTGTATTCGCGGAAAGCGGTTCGTGCTTTGCGCTGTATACATTCCTCCAGATCGTAGTCGGGACGTAGGTGTTATCGATGCCCATTTAGCTACTCTTCGTGAATTACGTGATGCAACTCCAGATGGTGACCTTTTGCTTGCTTGTGGTGACTACAATCAACCACACATAGCATGGGATTGTCTTGATGATGGAATCTTAAACCTTGATCCTTCCACGACGTCTGCTGCCAGTGCTGCTCTGATGGATGGAACGAGCTTCCTGAATATCCGGCAATACAACTCTATTCGCAATCACCTGGGGTGCATCCTAGATTTGGTTTTCTGTGATTCCGATTGCAACATTGTAGTTAACGAAGCGGTGTCCCCATTGCTGGCTATTGATTTGCATCATCCACCGATTTTATTCTCCTTACCAACTCAATCCGATTGTGTTGACCGTGTGGAATCCATTGATGCTGGTGAACATACGCTCGACTACTCAAAAATCGACTTCGTCATGCTCAACGAGTTCCTGATGAGCTGTGATTGGAGCAGTATTCTGGCAACAAATGACGTCAACGATATGGCAGCACAATTTTGCTTCATAATTTGCAATTGGTTCACCGATAACACTCCAAGACGAAAACCTCCTATATCTCCTGCTTGGAGTTCTCCTCTCCTGCGGCTTTTGAAACGCGATAAAAATTCCTGGCAGCGTAAACTTCGCCGACATCGAACTTCTGAAACGAAACGCAACTTTCATCGCGCTTGCAACGCCTATCGTAAGCTTAATTCAACCCTATACAAGTCATATGTCTTGCGTGTCCAGACCAATTTACATAGAAATCCCAAGAGCTTCTGGAAGTTTGTGAACTCCAAGCGAAAATCGTCGAATATTCCTTCATCCGTATTTTTTGGCGATTTGGAGTCTACTTCTATGCTCGAATCGTGTGATCTATTTTCCCGCCACTTCAGTTCTGTTTTTTCGGATTCAGCCGCCAACGCAGATGAAGTAGAAAGAGCGGCTTGCAATGTTCCTGAGGGTCTCATCGATTTGCGTACATTTGTGGTTAGCAATATGTATGTCGTTAAAGCTGTTAGGAAGTTGAAGAAATCTGTTTCACCGGGTCCTGATGGTGTACCTGCAATCATTTTTTGCCGCTGTGTTGCTGTTTTAGCTGATCCCCTAGCTCGCATCTTTACCGCTTCGTTGCACCAAGGAGTTTTCCCCGAAATATGGAGACATTCCTTTATGTTCGCTGTCTATAAGAAGGGCGACAAACGTGACGTGACAAATTATCGTGGCATAACAAGTCTATCTGCAGCTTCAAAGTTATTCGAGATCATTGTGAACGATGCTATCTTCTTTCATGTCAAGAGCTACATTTCAGCAACGCAACACGGATTTATGCCAGGACGCTCAGTTACATCAAATTTGCTGGAGTTCACCTCAACATGTATAAATCACTTGGAAAATAGGGCTCAAGTAGATACCGTTTATACCGATCTGAAAGCGGCATTCGATTGCATCGATCATGGTATTCTTCTTCGGAAAATGTCTCGCCTGGGAATTTCGGATGGTTTGGTTGATTGACTGAAATCATATCTTTCCAACAGAACACTTCGTGTCAAGCTGGGTTCGTGCACTTCATCACCATTTGCTGCAACCTCCGGTGTTCCCCAGGGCAGCAATTTAGGACCATTGCTGTTCACAATCTTCTTCAACGATGTGACGCTCCTCTTGCCGAGTGGTTGTGTGCTCATATACGCCGATTATCTCAAACTATACATTGTTGTCAAGAACGTCGAGGATTGCCGTCAGCTCCAAGCAATGTTAGACCAATTTGTTGATTGGTGCCGCTTAAACAAGCTTTCCGTCAGTATATCAAAATGTGTGGTCATGACATTTAATCGCACAAGAACGCCAATCGTATTCGATTACTCAATTGATGGATTTGTACTAGAAAGAGTAGATCAAGTAAGCGAGTTTGACTTACACCGTTCAATGGTAATCACTAAGGCTAATCGTCAGCTTGGTTTTATATCAAGAATCTCAAGAGATTTTTCGGATCCGTACTGTTTAAAAGCACTGTACTGTTCACTCGTTCGTCCGATTATCGAGACTGCATCTGTTGTTTGGACTCCTTACCAACTTTCCTGGAACATCAGAATAGAACGTATCCAAAAAACATTCATTCGTCGAGCATTAAGACAACTTCCTTGGAGAGATCCACTAAACTTACCTTCGTATGCTGAATGATGTCGCTTGCTAAGCATGGACACGTTACAACGACGGCGACAAATTCAACAGGCAACATTCGTCGCGAAGTTATTAAGTGGTGAAATTGACTCTACCCACTTACTCTCTTGCTTGAACTTTCGTGCGCCAAGCAGATTTCTACGCTCAACGTTCCTATTGCGTCAAGACTCACACCGCTCTTCTTTTGGACAACATGAACCTGTTACGAGTCTGATTCGCACGTTTTCTACAGTTGAAGAGTTGTTCGAGTTTAGGGAACCTGCTGCTCAATTCCAGAGACGTATTATTAACTCCAGATACATTTAGTATTTGTTATGGCTTCTGGTTCATTAAGACTTATTGTCAGATGGATGTATTAAATAAAAATAAAAATAAAAATAAAATAAACATAAAAATTTAGTGCGATAATTTATTAGCTAGAGAATGTTCTGTGCGAAAATTGAACAGAAGTTGAAATTGAGCGAAGGTCTAGTAAAGCAACAGTGCTAATCAAATACACGCTCCTTTACCTAGCTCAGTCCATTGATGGATGAAGGGATTTGAGGTATGGCCTCAGAAGGAACCAAGCACTTTTGGGCAAATTACAAAAAATGTTTTTTAAAGAAGAATTGCATTATACACACTATCATGCAGCCAACCGGGAAATGTAAGATTCTATTACACTTGTGGTCGCCGGAAGGTTTTTAACATGGTTTTGTAGTTTTATCCTTAGCTAATTTTTCGAACAATGTTTTTCCCCAAATGCATTGCATCTAGAAAATCATCTCGTGAAAGTTTTACTCAACAGTCCATTACAAGGTGCGGTGCGGAAATTTTGCGTTTGGATAGGGAGATCAATAGCAATAAACTATCTACTTTACAATGGGTTAACTGAAAATTCAGCTGGATTTAATGTAAGCATTCTATAATAAAAATTAATGAAAAAAATCAAGTCCTTTAGAACCAATTCAAATAGTTATATGAAGTGGAAATCCAGTAAAATTTAAACTATAGTTCAGCTTTGCAATTGCCTAACGAGGCTGTACGATGCCTTTTAGATATGCTCCAAAGCGAACAGCATAGCATCTTCGCAGTATCGCTCACTCTTTCCATTTCCACCTCAACCTATGAATAGAGGTAGAAAGAACCATCTTCACCACCACGTGTCGGATGTTTTCGCTGCTGCACCTGCGCTCATCACAGCCCAGCCACCGCATAGGTTTCCCATCCGTGGCGTGCAGTCCCGCGTGGATGGCAGCAACCATCTGCCACCGTTCACCGTTTGCTCCTTCGCGCTCATCCATTCCTGTGAAGCACGGTTAAATTTTTGAAGAAAATGTAGAAAACTGAAACCATATCATATCGCGTATAAAAATGCACCCAGGCAAATCATAACAACGTGGTTTTTTTATTCCTCATTCACAAAACACCAATCGTACCAATCCATCATTTTTCATCTCTTTTCCCAAAGGGGAACTACTCGTTACTGAAACAATCATGAACATTCAATTGGATTTAGGGGGGATAATCCCCAGCCACGCGGGTCCGAAGGCCAATGATGCCGACAGCTCCCTCTCCACGGTGGGGAAGTTCTTTTTCTCGAGATTTCGTAAATCGTCCCCGAGTAGCAGCGCGCCATGGTCGTCAAGAGGTGGTCGCTAACGCAGTGAAGCTACTCGGAACCGGCTTAATCCGTTGGTCATTCACGAGAGAGCAGCTTCCTGTAAAGGGTTGTAGAACACTTTCGTTTCGTCTTCTTGCCGTGACCGCGCATAAGACCGGTGCGGTTTTACGGCTCACGCCGCTATCAAAGGCACATGCCTGATGGGAGGTACAACTTGGAGGCGGTTAAATTGGCGGTCTAGTAGTAGGTCTCCACAGCAGTTGAGAGGGGAACGGCGAAAGATGCTTCATTCGCGATTTTCTTTTTCTAGTGGCAAAACGGTCCTCTTGTGGACGGAGAAAATTCCCAAAGAAATCATTGCAGCCTAGTCATCGGAGGAGAACGAAATAGTGAGAGTTGGGTTGGTCGTCCTGAGTGGATTGGATGAGACCGGGAAAAGTTTCCGTTAGGTGGCCGCGGTAGGTTCACAGAAGACGGGTTAAGAACTTATTGAACAGGTTAGGGTCACGGTTGGCTAATAATTTATCAATGAAGATAATTGGCTGTGTGCATTACTGGTTTCTGTACGGAGTGGCAGATAGGAACTAGGATAGCTTATAAATAGGACCTGATCCGGAGCTAACGGGGCAGTTCATCGGTAAAGGTTTGAGTTGGAAAGGAGCAGAATCGGATTGTGGTTGTGGTTCGCTGAATATTGCATAATATGGCATCGATCCATTGGATAGCGGTTTGCTGTTTGACGTTATGGATATCTAGTGGTGGTAAGGAGCAAAGTTAAAAGTAGCAGCAATTTAGTTTATTAAAAATGTGGAATACGAAGGAATTGCTAGTCATCATTCAAAATTACTTATTATTCTATTAATTCAATTGTGCTTAAACTTCTCAGTAAATTCTGCTTAACCCTCCAAATCAAATCCGCTAGTCTAGTCAATAAAGGTACAATTTCTGATTTGTGGAGTAGTATTGTTCTGTCTTTAGATCAGCTAACTTATTGAGGTTGAATTATGGGGATACAATTCGCTTTATGCACTACTAATCAACTTTATGTTCAGCCTGGTGTTAACCAATAATCAGCATCTGTTCTTACTGGTCAGCTTAAATTGTTACTGTAAGCTGTGGCATGTGGACTTCGGATAATCATCTTAAACGTTCTACGGTTGAACATTGAATGTGTCTTTATTTTGGAGAAGGCTATTGAGGTCAAAGCGACACAGCGAGTTGTGTTTATTTTACTTAGGTTGAATATGCGTGAAGTGTACATACGAAAACAATTAAAGGAGGTTACTAAACGAGGAAAAGGTTTCGGGTGCCGACTGAGCAGTCTTCAGTAGGTTAAAAATTTGGGTGATAAACATAACCGTTTAATTTATGGATTGTTAAGGAATGGTTCTGTTTATGGTGAGAGTGAAATTTGATGCTACGTAACAAGTGACACCGTGACAAAGCGGTGGGTAGAACTCAGCGGGTAACGCGTTCTTCGGGGGAAAGCTGTATACTTATTTTTCAAGCACTCGCCAGTTCCTTTAGACCACCCGATCGTTGCGTTGCTATTCAGGTTGCTAGTTTGACAACTTTAGCCGTTGCTATTTTAGTTAGCAACTATCACCATTTGTTAATTTATGTTTTAACTTTCGCACCGGTACACAGTGGTCTAAAAGTGGCAAAACGTACGTTTTTTTAGTTATGTGCGAAAACTGTCCATTTAAGCCATACAGTGTCTTCGGAGAAGTTTGTGCACTTAAAAAACCCCTTATTTTGAGCTTAGCTATTTCATGATTAATCCACCTAGCAGGGAGATGAAAAATTTACTTTTTTTATTTGTCGAGATACTGAATACTGAGATACCTGAATAGTAACGCAACGATCGGGTGGTCTAAAGGAACGGGCGAGGGAGCACTGCTTAAGCGGCGCAACACCCAGTGCTTGAAAAATAAGTATACAGCTTTCCCCCGAAGAACGCGTTACCCACTGAGTTCTACCCACCGCTTTGTCTCGGTGCGTTTTCAACCAAGCGCACTGATTTTCTGCGAGTGACTAGTTCTCGATTGACCCTACCCACATGCAAAAAATCAGCCCGACTGGTTGAAACCCCGCCGAGAAAAAGCGGTGGGTGCAACTCAGTGGGTAACGCGTTCTCCGGGGGAAAGCTGTATACAAAATGGTGTCTTGAACAAAGTTTTAGAAAATATTAAAACAATCATTTTTGCTGAAGACGTCAACCCTCTATCTCTTATGTTTACAGAGATATGTAATTTTTTTGGTAAGAGCCTTCAGAAAATAAATTTTTGCAAATAACTTTTCAGGAAGCAATGTTTTTTTTTTAAATACGCCATTTTCTCTTGGGAAACATGTCCCTATCTTCAATATTTCTTGAGATATTCAAGGTTTTGATCCAAAATTAGCACTATTTCTAAGGTCAATAGCTCGAAGTTGGGCAAAATTGGGTAAACCAGGTTGATTACATTTGAAAGTATACTTAAAATGCAGCCCAATGCATACCCAATCATTAGCCTTCTTTAGTATTCTCTGCCAATCTGCTTATTACCAAACTATAGGGTCACGACTTCCCGTATAGTTGTGCTACTGTTGTTTTTTATGAACATTAAAAACAATATTACTACTTCAAATAATTACTAACTATATCAGAATATAGTTATATTTCATCAACCGTTCCATATGATATCAAAGAAAAATTTTTTATCGTTACCCATTTCCTCGTCACTTTCAGAATTGTCGCTTACTTCTGTTTCACCATCGGATCGTGCATCGGTAGATGGAACTAGAAGCTACGCAACCCAATTTTTATTTTGGTTCCCTACGGTTCTCCTCCAAATATTAAACAACTCACGTTTGTCAATAGTTTCTAAATATTTAAAGTAAAACACATATTTTCAAACGTTCCAAATAGTGATCAAAACAAATTGCACTTACCTGAAGCAACCAAAAAAGATATTCCAGAGCTCATTGTCGTAATTATATACAACCGGTCACGTTCGAAAGAAAATGACACATTGCTACAGACACCGGGACTCAAATAGTGGGAGGAACAAGGACCAATGTTCATTCAGTTAACCGGTTACTACAACCAACACCGAAAAGCACATTACGGGAAGAACAAGGACCACTGTTCGTTCAATCAATCGGTCACAACTACCGACACTGTGAATCACCAATCGTAGTACAGTAATTTTTTAGCACTACAATAGACTCAGGGACTCACCTGCCACAAGAACCACTGTTTATTCAGTCAACCAATCACTACAATAGACACTAAGAATCACTTCCTTGTCCTGTCAACCGCTCACTACAATTTAGAATTTGGTATCAAAACTTTTACCACACGCCTGCTCTTTTTTGCACGTACTTCGATTTAACCGAATTCTAATTTTCTTCCTTCAACACCAATAGTAAGTGACGTATGAAGGAGCCTCTATGTATAAATGCAAGAAAACGATTATCTGTACACGGTTTACTATAGTTTGGTAATAGGCAGATCAGCAGAGAATACTAAAGAATACTAATGATTTGGTATGCATTGGGCAGCATTTTAAGTATACTTTCAAATGTAATCAACCTGGTTTGCCCAATTTTGCCCGACTTCGAGCTATTGGCCTTGCAAATAGTGCTAATGTTGAATCAAAACCTTGTATATCTCAAGAAATATCCAGCATTTTACGAGCGCTTATGGCCGCCACAATCTGGCTGAGTTTTTGGTATGGAACATATGATTTGACGTTTGGGTTGTGTCGTTTGACGTGTAAACGTTTAAATTTGATCGTTTACACGTCAAACGACACAACCCAAACTTCAAATCTTATGTTCCCTACCAGAAAATCAGCCAGATAGTGGCGGCCATAAACGATCCTAAAATACTGGATTGAAGATAGGGACTTGCTTCCCAAGACAAAATGGCGTATTTAAAAAAAAAAAACATAAACATAAGTGTAGAACATACTAATGTCAAAAAATTACTTCCTGAAAAGTTATTTGCAAAAAATGCTTTTCGGAAGGCTCATACCAAAAAATGACATATTTCTGTAAACATAAGAGATATAGGGTTGACGTATTTAGCAAAAATGTTTGTTTTAATATTGTCTAAAACTTTGCTCAAGACACCATTTTGCTATCTCGACTAACAAAAAAGGTTCAACCTGCTCAAGAACCTCCCAGAAGTCACAAAGAGGCGATTGTTGAACTTGTTCAATCGATTCCTTGAGCTCAACGTTGTTCCGGATGATTGGAGACAAGTGAGAGTTATCGCCATCCAGAAGCCCGGTAAACCCGCGTCGGATCATAATTCGTACCGTCTCATCGCGATGCTGTCGTGTATTCGGAAGCTGTTAGAAAAAATGATTCTTCTTCGTCTGGACAAGTGGGTCGAGGCGAATGGCTTACTCTCAAATACGCAATTTGGATTCCGTAGGGGCAAAGGGACGAACGACTGCCTTGCGTTGCTTTCAACTGAAATCCAATTAGCCTATGCTAAAAAACAGCAGATGGGTTCAGTTTTCTTCGACATTAGAGGGGCGTTTGATTCTGTTTGCATCGACATCCTTTCGGACAAACTCCATGCGAGTGGGCTTTCTCCGATTATCAACAATTTCCTGTTTAATTTGTTGTCCGAGAAACGAATGAGCTTCTTTCATGGCAACACGGAAATTGTACGAATCAGCAACATGGGTCTTCCACAAGGCTCATGTTTAAGTCCCCTCCTGTACAATTTCTATGTCAAAGACATTGATGAATGTCTGGTCGAAAATTGCACGCTAAGGCAGCTTGCAGATGACGGCGTGGTTTCCATGGTTTGACCAACAGCACCGGACCTGCAAGGACCATTGCAAGATACCTTGGATAATTTGTCTACTTGGGCAATAAATCTGGGTATCGAATTCTCTCCGGAGAAAACAGAGATGATTGTTTTTTTCTAGTAAGCTTTATCCAGCACAGTTTCAGCTTCAACTTATGGGTAGAACAATCACTCACAGCATGTCGTTTAAGTATTTAGGTGTCTGGTTCGATTCCAAGTGCATTTGGGGAAAACACATAGCGTATCTGAGGCAGAGATGCCAACAGCGAATCAATTTCCTTCGTTCCATTACCGGCACTTCATGGGGAGCCCATCCGGAAGATCTGATAAGACTCTACAAGACCACCATTCTCTCGATTTTGGAGTACGGTAGCTTTTGCTTTCAATCGGCGGCGGGGACGCACATATTGAAGCTCCAAAGGATTCAATATCGTTGCATTTGAATCGCGCTAGGTTGTATGCAATCGACGCATACCATGAGTCTTGAAGTTCTTGCGGGCGTCCTCCCCTTAACAAATCGTTTTGCGGATTTATCGTTCCGGTTCCTCATCCGCTGTGAAGTCATGAACCCGCTGGTGATCGAAAACTTTGAGAAGCTGCTAGAGCGGAATCCTCAAACACGATTCATGAGCTTGTACTACGAGTACATGACTCTGGACATCGGCCCCTCCTCGTTCAACCCCAATCGCGCTGTCTCCCATCATTTCAGTTGTTCTTCCGTGAGATTCGATCTCACAATGAGGCAGGAGATTCAAGGAATTCCAGAGCCTCACCGTTCCCTGATTGTCCCAACTTTTTTTGCGAACAAATACCGCCACGTCCCCACCAAGAAGAGATTTTTCACAGATGGGTCGGTGATAAATGCATCCACTGGTTTTGGAGTATTCGGTATACGTTGCTGAACTAGAAGCTATATCGTACACATTAGAGCGTATTGCCTCACTTCCACCTGAC